ATCGTGTTGCCGTACAGTACAGATTTTGCCCGCGGACCGTTCTTCAAAAAATATTAACTTATTAATTGTTTGAATCGTTATGCTAATGCTAAGGGTTCTGAATTGTAACAAAACGTAACTTAGAAGGATTAAATTTTTGAATTTATTTAATAGAAGATATTTAATAAGAATAGGCAACAGATCTGTACCTGATGCATGAGTAACGAAAGCTGTTACTGTTGCGGTCGTTGAAGACGTAATATTATTATTATATTAATTTAACAATTCATTAAATGCCAATAGTGTAAATTGCATGACATATGAGGGCACTTGTGGTGATTACGCGCAAGATTAAGATGAAATACTTCGTCAAACTCGTGATAGAGGTTCATTGAACAGTTTGTGTTCGCAGATACAATTCATAAAAGTATTATTTACGACATTTGTTTGTTACATTGTATAAATTATAATGAGTAACTTGAAGTTATTTATATCAGTCTTAAGATAAAATATATTATTAGTTGTGTGTGGGAACAATCATAAAAAAGTATATTTTTTTCGTTTTTATGCTACTTTAATTCCGAGTTAGATTCCAATATTTTTTACAAAAGATTATACACTTATTTTTACGAGCGAGTTATTCTTAGTTCAATCATTCTCCATTCCCACGAGGCCACATTGCTCTCGTTATGTAAATAAGACCCAAAAAAGGAATATTTTTTCAGAAACTAAGCCTGAATACGAACATCGAATCAAATTTCGACTTCTACATGAAGTGAACTTTCCGACTACCTCTGATTTTTCTGGGATGGATTTGGTAGAAAACCTACGTGAATCATTGACATGACAGTAATAAAAAGTTATCGGTTCGAAATTATTCTTATATAACTATCAATATCATAAAGGTGATTTAAATTTAAAAAATATAATATTGGAGTAAACACAAAAAGTTAGGCATAATTAGGTACTGTATCCAATGTTGCATACGTTGGTTGGTCTGCGTTCAATTATCTTATTGATATAGATAAAATTTCTTTACCGTAAATCTATAAATATATATTTTCTTTTCGGTAGTCTCGCTAAAATTCGAGAATGGCCGATGGTTTTGATATTGAAATATTTGTGAAAGTTCATGGAAGGTTTAAACGGTGGTATACATAAATAAGAAGTAAATAAAAATACTAAAAACGACTATTGAATATTGAAGTAAAAACTGTTCCTAGCTGGGAATTTTTCATTTCTTTTGCCTTTTTAGAAATCAAAATTGTCATTTGGTTGTCATGGCAACATTAGCCTTCAGAAATTTGGGTTTCATAGCTGTAGTATGAGATCCGAAGTCTTGGGTCTGTTTTAAAAAGTGTGTATAAAATTTCGGTAGAAACTTCATCGGGCCATCTAGTCTTTTACATATATTTATAATAGCTGGCTAACGAAGTAACTAATAGATGAGCACACACCGCTATTAGCGTCAAAGTTTTGCAACTAATACCAACTGGGTTAGGTTTTTTGTTTATTATGGAAAGCTCGACAAAGCCATTATACACAACCGCAATATGGAGGTACATTATTGAAATCGTGAGAACCGAAATGATTATAATCCACTTGATACATAGGATTAGTCAGTGGGTTTATGTTTTTCTAAGTTCATGAGTGAGGCAATCGCGCTACCCGTCAACTGCTTCCCTTATAAAATATATATTTAGAAATACAATTTTTTTATTTATAAAAAATAAAATGTTTGTTATGGAATATAAGATACTGGTATCGCTTATTCCACATCATGAAATTTGTATCGGTAGACATCCCTACTCATCGGAAAAGAAGACATAGGGTGTAGGCCGAGAGAAAAAGCCGGCATAAAAACTCTCGGTACTCTTTTTAAATATCAAATCATCATACAAAATGACTACAACAACACTTTTTTTAAAATATATATCGCTTATTAATTAGAAGTAGCCTGTCTAGCACTAGGCTCAGACCCTTTTATGAACTAGATAATTGTCAACTTTATAGTAAGCCTTTTTAGACAGCTTTTGTTTAATAAATTTATTAAAAGACGGAATTTATACAAAGAAAAATTATGAAACGATACAACATAAATAAGTTTAAAAAAATCTGTCCGCCGAAGCGTTTACATTACAATAATATTATACTTAGGCCTATGTCGACAACCTGACCAAAGTGGTTGCTAATAAATTATTATTATTTTCGCTATGTAAATTTGATTTAAGAATGCTACTGTTAAATAAGAATAGCATGTAAGTTAAAAAGGTCAGTGAATAAAGGGCTTTTATTATTATTATTAATATTATACTTAAGAATAAAATTAAAGGATAAACATTGAACATTCAAGCAAGGCATAACAATTAGTAGATGTGTTGAAAATGTAACCCGCACGTTTACTCCTCTATTCGTTACGTACAAGGTGCCACTATAGGAACCTATTATTGACGACCTAGTGACGAGGTGTTCAAATTTAGTGTTTCGAATAAAATAAACCTTAATTGAATAGACTCGATTAGTCCCTTGAGAATCCCGACAGTATGGAGATATTTCTGTGTCATTGACGTTTTGTTTTATTGCGCCTTGAATAAAATCCAGGACCTCCTACCTCAGTTACATGTGACGTCAATTGGTGTATTTAGTATTTATTCCCTCTCCCACTATCAACATACACACACACTCACCTACACATACACAACACTCACATACACACACTCACACATACACACACACACCCTCACATACGCCCATACAACTCTACTTGTGCTATTTTGTACTAACTTCTAATTAGTTGACTGTTTTGTTTTTCTCTCTTTAATTGAAATGTTAATTTGTTTGCCTACCCATATATGTATGTACTTTTTGTAAACACTCAAAATGACTTTGCTGTGGAGTGGAAGCCTGGTTATCCATATCACAGGTTCTTGCCTAGTTTGGAAACCAGTCTCCCAATGCTTTTTCAACTGTTATCTAATTGTTGTTGTAAATGTTATATGGGAGAAAATAAAATTATTCTTATTCTTATTCTTATTCTTATTTTATACCAAAAAAATTCGTGGGGAACGGAAAAAATTGTATTCCTTAATGCTTTTAGTTGTACCTAAGATCTTGACTACCTACTATCTCTTCTGAAACAGTTCATTTATTCATTGTAATGTATAAGTTTTGTTTGTTGTTTTAATTAGTGTAATCAGCATACAAACTGCAGTGGATTGGAAACCTTCCTTGATTATGGATTTACAGACCCAGACCACAACATCGCCGTGCAATTTACGTTAAACATCCGACGCATAGATTAAACGTAAAAACGGTCTAATTAATATTGTATAGCATGGTTATTGTTTTAAAGTGTCTTCGCAAATGCAGAAAGTGCTTTAACATGCAGTATCGCAATATTGGCGCTAGAGAGAAGAGGCCTAATGTGTAAAACTGCCACTCTTCTTTGGCAATGGGAAACAATAAAACATTTCTGTATTTGCTAAAAAAGTTGTATTAATGTTATTATCTTAATGAAATCCTAAATAAAGTTTAACTAAAGTTAACACGATATTATTAGTTACGAAGTTAGCCGGGTCACTTAAATAAACCTAACGTACCCGATATTAACGTAGCGAAAGCATTTAGGCACTAAGCCTATACGTTTAATAATGCATTTAGGTTGAATAAACGTGATTTAGGCACATGTTTGAAGAGCGGGCAACGTGTTTAATATGCAATGAATATTTAATTAGACGAGCCGCTAATTACCTGCATAGGATACCGTGATAGATAAAGTTAGGTTAGATTATTAAATAAGGTACGATATGTTACAATATATTGTCGGAGATAATGACGCTATAGCTTGCTCAGGCCAAACCTGAAATTAATTTTTATAGCATTAAAATCTGTTCTAAAGAGAGATCTGGTTTTCGCTAGTCTTTGGTTTTGGAAATGCACGTGCAGACGTAAAGAATTTGCATTTGAGGTAGGCAATGCAAACATATTTATATTAGTATTGCCATATTCAATGTGCATTTTAGATTTAATACATCACGGCTTCTTTCAACCAATCACTTACCAGCATCGAACATTTGCTATGATGCACCTATTACTTTTTGAGAGATAAATAAATGAAGATAAATGCTCAAAACTGGAGGGTATGTAGACTTGTCTAAAACAAGGCTAATCAGAATCAGGTGAAAAATACCCAATAATTTCGAGTAATACCGCGGATTCCAGAGATCCCAGAGCCATGCAGTAAACTTGTTCATAACCACTAATCTATTGAGTTTATAGGAGTTTCGTGAATTGCAGCGTTCTATAGAGAAATAAAATGAGTGAACCACAGAATGCCTTGAACTTTATGCAGTCACGAAATCGTCTGCTCTTCTAGCATCCTACAAAAGCTGAAGAATTGCTAACTATCGATACTGACTTTACCTTATCTTTTCCAGACATTAACAGGTCTCATTTAATTACAAAACATAAATCAGTGGCGCTATAACCTTTTTAGGTCTGGGCCTCAGATTTCTGTATCTGTGTCATGATCATTTGTCAACTTATAGGCCTCCTGTGCCTGACAGACGCCGTCCACTTTTTGGGTCTAAGGCAAGCCGGTTTCCTCACGATGTTTTCCTTCACCGTTCGAGCGAATGTTAAATGCGCACATAGCAAGAAAGTCCATTTGTGCACAGCCGGGGATCGAACTGACGACCTCAGGGATGAGAGTCGCACGCTGAAGCCACTTGGCCAACACTGCTCATTCAATGAATACAGTGATGTAAAAATTTCTAAGTTACCTTACAAACATGCTGCCTTGGTGTCTTTTTGCATCTTTAAAATATAAAAATTTTCTTCCGTAATTTAAAGGATGTATCCGATTTTTAGCCATAGGTTGATCCTGCCATTATATCTGCACGTATATCTTCAACATATCCAAATTATTGTCTGTGGTCATAACAATGAACGACGCATGTCAAAAGATATTTATCTGACAAATAACATCAGTAAATTATTGTTTTAGAGAATTATCTACAAAAATGTTAATACCAACATGTTTAATAAAATTCCTAGAATTGGTAAGTGTTTAACAAATTAGGTAATTTGATACAAAACTTATATTCGTCCATAGTATCTCTGTGTTCATACCTATTGTAAAATCAATTTGTAATAAGAAGCCTTTTAAATAAGAATTAAGTAAAGAATTACTCATGACTGTGTGTTCATTACAATTAATATTTCGCGTCTTTTTGACTGAACAATGTTAATAATTGTATGATTTTCTTTTTGTCTTCCATTTCAGTCTCTCACTATAGCCTGTCTAACATTACATCACTACAGTTATGACCTTACGGACATACCTACACTAATGCTCTGCTCTGGAACCTACGTCGGCTACGTTGTAGTGCTCTCAGGGGAAATTGTAGGCATGTATGAATTCATTATCACTTCACTTCACGTTGTCACGCTAACATTTAATAGTGGATTTTCAGAAAGTTTTGTATACTATGAAGTAATTACTACAAGTCATTTCGTATTTACTAGCCTTCTGGCACCGTTATGAAAGATTTTATTTAACGACGGGAAATAATTAAATTAAAAATACGCGTTGAACTGTAAACCTCCTCGCGAAGTTCTTTGATAAAACAAGTCTCAATAGCATAAAAAAATTATAAATACTTATTTATTAGATGAATTTTCACGAAGAAGATTAAATAAGTAATAAACGTTATTAAAATATGTATTGCTAATAATATATAAAATATCGGTTTATGTATAATAAAAATACAGTTTCTAAACAAGCGAATGTGAATAAGATTTCATTACTATCATTCTATAAATAATACATGAGGAAACAGTACGAAGTCGCGAGAAAAGCTCTATGGCGATTGTAACCAATCACATTTTCTAGGAGAAATCCTCTTAGCACCTTTGGACTTAGTACAAGATATGTACTTCTGTATGGTTGGCGTGGGTCTCTTTGGCGTGAGTGGAGGGCTCGTATTGTCGGCCAGGACAAAGGGATCCCCTTACCCGAGAACAGGAGATCACAACGCGGCTCTCATAGCTGGTTCTTTGGCTGTATTAACGGCAGTTGTTATGCTTTTCGATCTGAGTCTGGCATATTTGGATTCGGAACAATATGACGACGATGCGAGCGTATAAGGTGATTTTAGTGAATACGTAAGAAAACCTTGTTTTTAAGGTCTACTAGGTCGAATAATAATCAGTCGCAGACTCTCAAGGATAATGTACTCAAAATAATTGTAATAATGGTACTAAGAAGCGTGAAATCGCGTTTAAAGAATTAAAAATATTCTATATTTGTTGTTCTCGCGACTTCGCTATACAATAATTACGATAACATATTTTCTTTTAACACATGGAATTCTACTTACTAAGAGTTTATTAGAGAAAAAAATTGTAATACATTTTGTTCCAATATTATAACTTGCAGGTGAAGCCGTATCAGCAACTGCAGATGCGTATATCGACGCCTGGTGGTCGGCAATCGGCGGCGTACTATTTGGAGCATGTGGCGCCCTCACACTGCATGGTTGGCGCGATGTACCCTTCTGTCAGAGAAAGAACTATGCTCAAACTTACGCTGTGTGTTCGTTGGCCGTCGCTGCTTTGATGACCATAGATGCCTTAATTGCGCTCTGCTCTGCCCAAAAAGATGATGTAAGCACTCGTTCTAAGTCTACTCGACGTGCCGCGTGAAATTGTATTGTGTAAATAAATTATATCAAGCTTTATTGTCTTTCAATAATATAATATACCTTAGTCAACTATAATAATATAAATATTACCTATTAATATTTATTACCTATAAATTTTATGACTTTATTTTATTTTATTTTTTGATTTCTTTATTTTACAAAATAATATAATACAATCATAATAAGTTACATTAAAAAACCGCTGTGGTAATAATATTATTAACTTGGTTGAAATATTCATATCTGATTAAATATAAAAAAAAACTGCTTAAAGCGACATCTAGTAGAACATAGCTAAGCTACGTTAAAGATTGAAACAAAAATGTGAGAAAATATGGCAAAGCCAAAATATTGAAGTAATGTTTAATGAAACTAATAGATAGCGTGCAATTAAAAACCTTTAAATTAGCTAAAATTTTCTTGTATAGCTATATTATTATTATATTTATACACGAATGTATCAATATCTTACAATAAAAATTTTTCCCTAGATTTAATTGTTTTTTATAACTTAGTGGAGAAGTATTATGAGTTTTAGTGAGATACTTTAATGGTCTTGGGTAATATTTACATAGTATATTTTTAATTTTGTAGCGTAGTAGGCGTGTACGATTACTTCATCAGAAACAATATAATGGACGTTGTTTTAGTTAATTATCGCATCAATTAGAAGTGCTTACTAATTACTTGACGTCTTCTTTAAGTGTTGATCTAGAACATTTTATAGAGGTCGAGAAGGATGAATCATTTTACATGAAATGATTGTTAATTTAAAACTAAAAAAAGTAGTTTATGTTATTCTGTGGAGGAAGGAACTTTAGCTCTTCCTCCAGCCTCAAGGGAAGCCTTCGACCATTCTAGACCACTGAGGTTGAAAATTGAATGTGCGATTTTTTTTTTAAAGTATTATGTTATTAGCCAACTATTTACTTTACGAAATTTGGTTAGACTACTTTTTCTATAAGAAGGGTGGGTGCAGTTGTTTTGGACCCTTCTGGTGACGTCACGTTCATATGTCCATGATTTAGACCTATCGTAGATTATATGGTAGCTTTTTTTTTCATTCAAAAACGTGTGGGCCGATTGCATTTATTTATTTTATGCATTAACCGATTATTTTGTGAACTCTTGTATTCTTTAATATATTATGATGTATGTATGAGAAAATACTGTTTCAAAAAACTATGTAAAAACACTGTTTGGGTCAACCACAAGCACTAATCTTGTGCTTATTATAAATAAAAAATATGTTTCTCTACAACGAACATGAAATGTTAAAGAGAAATCATCAAATTTATGACATTTAGGTGATAAAGATTCTAAAAATACGTAAAACATTAAACAATGTAGGGCAGTCTTCGAATGTGTTTACAAATATATATATATATATTATATAAAACAAAGTCGTATTACACCTTTACAACTCTAGAACCGCTGGATACATATTTTGTATGATTCTTGTGTTTCTGGACTTTACATTTGTATGTGGTTGTCTTCATCTGGAATAGGATAAGTATTAATTTATGTTTATCATCAATAATCATCAAATAACGTCAATTCATTTGTTATAAATGGTATAACAAACCGCAACTGACAGCTCATGTAATGTTGTCAGTGTCTTCCGATAAAGTTGAATGGTCTACGGATACGAGTATTATAATAAATCTTATTGCCGATATTATCACTAACAATAGCCGCGACCAAGAAAATAATCTTTCCCAACGAAGGCGTAATAATTTTTTTTTTTATAAGAATCAATCTTATCAATCATTGACTGTTCGGAGAGGTTCACCGAGTCAGCTAGTATCAAAAAAATATTATCTTTTTTATTATTAAAACTTAGTCATCCAACTATGATCTCACCGTTTCGTCATTGAGTCGACCGATCGGCGAATGCTACACGCTCGATATTTATCGTGATATTTGGATCGTGATCCAAAATTACGATGTGTAGTACATGCGTATCACGATCCGTGATACGGATCGCTGGATTTCTAGAAATCTAAAAATCCACGATCCGTATCAATTATCGTCGATAAATATCGAGCGTCTAGTCTCTGCTCGATATTTATCGCGTCAGTATTTATTCTGCCAGCGATGGAAGAGGACGCGCATATATGGAGGCGGAATAATATAGAGAATTCATACTTGTATTAGAAACATTACCTATAAGTATAGGCTGATTTACACGTATTAAGTTGCCAAGTCTTAACTAAATTTTAAGTAACCGTTTACACGTAAAAATACTAAATAATTAGTTAAACTCATTTATTCGCTCAAGATGGACGACCACAGAACAAAATATTATAGGATTTTCTCTTCCTGATTGGGGATTTACTGTATTGTATGCTCCAATACATGATTGTGAAGGTTCTGGGGACTCAACGTAATACGTATTTGAAGAAGGCGAAGGAGTAAAACGGCTACTATTATTCATTGGGGAAGGGGTTCTACTACTGTTCATTAATTGTTGTATACGCATATCGGACAAATAGTTTTGGATATGTTTTTGAGCTTCCAGCGCCGAAAGCAAAAGCATAGCTTTGCAATGACTCCGCCAGCTTATGCTTTTCACTTAAATTTAACTAAATTTTGCCTGTCCAAACGTGTCAAGTGATTAGCCACGCCCACCAACTTAACCGAAAAATAGACAAAATTCTATTCTACCTTGTTTACTTGCAACTAAATTTTAACTTGCAACTTCTTACTAAATTCACTGTTTACACGGGTTAAGTTACTTAAAATTAAGTTAATATTTAGTAAATTTTTAGTCAACTTAATACGTGTAAATCGGCCATATGGGACACCTCAAATGCAAACTAGGCAAACTACAGAAAATAATTTAAAAAATAACAGATTTGAAACGATCTGGTGCTGCAGCGGAAAATGTTTACAATTCAAAGTCTTGGATATTGATGTATATCAGCATATACTGATAATAATAATAATAATAATGGCAACGCAAGCTTTCTTAATATTGTTACTCATATTGTAACACGAAATGTACGAGTGTACTCAATGAAATTTACCGTCGTACTGACGCGATCCGTATCGAGTGTGTAGTATACTAAAAAAATACAAGATAAATATCACGATAAATATCACGATAATTATCGAGCGTGTAGCATTCGACCGATCGCGGCGTAGCGTCTGGTCTGGTCCTTGCTCAGTTGTGACCTCGCGTAAATCGTAACCAGACGTGTAGTGAAAATGGCTATCAGCAGATTATCTATCATTAAATTCTTGGAGTTGGTGCGTAATTTTTTCTATTAACATTTAAACAAGGCGTGGCCGAAAAATTATGTTTGTAGTTTATTAGATATGTAAAGCGTAATATTAATAGCGGCTTAAAAAATACTAATTGGCTACTTAATAGTAGTCTGATAATGTTAGAAAATAGATAGCTATTAGGATTATAATTTCTAACGTCCCCTTTTATACCCAAAAGGCATACCCACTTTCAAAACTGGATTTGGTATGCTCCTTCCGGTGCATAAGTCGCAACTGCGTAAATACCTATAAACTTGTTTGTGAATTTGTTGTCAGTAAATATTCCAGTAAATGCTGCGTTTTAACGATTTCGTCGTTTCAAAATTATTACATATTAAGTTTTTAGTCATTGTTAAAGTGTCCTTGTGCCAATTTTTTTTAAATCTTAATTTGAGGTTATGAATACTATAGGAAAAAAGTTTTTTTAGCTATGGCCACATTTAGTCTACATAAGCATGTTTTATATTTACATCTATACAAATACGATTAAATTATAGGGGTTTCGAAGCGTTGTTGCACATAGTGAATAAATAATTATTCAGAATGTTTTGAAATGAGTACCTACCAAAAATTAAACGACAGGAAATACATCACTGCACCTGAAATAATATTCCCGTATTGCAAAACATGAATCAAACATAAATCTAGTTAAAAAAAAATCTGTGTGAAGTTTGGCATATTTGGCCCCGCTCACAGACTTGAAATACGAAATTGAATACGTATCTAATGTCCTAATAGATAGGTATTAAAAAATAGAGAGACTAAAACAAATAACTTAGCAATGGGAAGTCAATATACCTATGGATTGAGTTACTATTTACATCATAGATTAGTTATATTCTTACGTTAATAATACTTTATTGTTTTAAATCACGTTTCTTAAGGACGTTGACTTAAAAATTACTCTATTAATTATGTTGCGGACTTGTTTACTACATTTTAATGAGCTTGATAATAATCATTCAACGATAAGAAACTTTAACGATTTAGTAGTACCAATCGAGTTCTATATACAACAAATTGATGTTTCTTAACATTCTCACGCAAATGACAAAATTATAAATAAAAATATAAAAATTATTTACATTCACAGAATGAACTAAAAGCATAGTATGTAACCCGTTAATCTGTGGATGTGCGATGCCAGAGACAACTGTCATATGATCAATTACAGATAAATTCATACTTGTCTCTGGAGATGTTGTCCTGAAAGCTTATAATAAGATTACTTCTTTTTCTTTTGCAGTTCCATTCCACTCATAACGGGTTCGATAAACAATAATAATTCATTAATACTTCTTTATTGGCATACATAATGCGATCAATCTTCTGTTCCCACTTGAAAAACTTAATTTGTTAGGAATCTAGCATAAAGCCTCTCTTTAATACACCATGTGCGATGGTATTCTTTAATTCATTTACTGTACATTTCCACTTATCGCTGCAATAAATCTTTATCTGTTTATGGTCCGGACTCAATGTCTTTCGAAATATACCTATTTATAGGAAGTACATCGTACTGGATTGAGGCCATGGTCACTGACGTGGATTTTAATTTGTAGGTTAAAATTATCAGGAGAAAGATAACATAAATTGTAGTCATATTGAGGAATAACATGACAATTTGACATAAATCATACTAAAAATCCTTCCTTTTTCAAATATAATATAGATAAGGAATTTAAACTCGGATCACTATGATTTTTGACACACAACAGTATATTTTTTGTAATAATATCGTATTTCATTTTCAGATAAATAACATTTCTTCTTACAGTGATCCTCTTAATTATATCTTTAAATAACCTTTATTTTGGCGGGTTACAATAGAAGAACGATTTTGTTGGCATTCAAATAACAAATATTTGCACCATTCGTCGGCATCGAGTACTTACATTTACGCGGGAATTTTTATTTTCAATTTAAATGACAGTTTACGGCTTTAGCTTTATTGAAGAAAAAAACAAGTATTTACATATTATAATCTATGATAATTCAAAATATTTACTGTACCTTAAATTTCGTTTTGAAGTAAACAAATTGAAAGTAAGAGTATGATAATAATTTATAACCCGAAAAACTTAGAACGCGTTTTTCACAAATCCTACGCCGGCAAATCGATTGTTTAATCTCGGGGTCAACCTTGAGTTTACTTTAGTGGCCGTAATGCTGGATAAAAATACATCATGATGTAGTTTCCTTGTTATCATCAACAGTACTGGTTTAACGTGGGTTCTTCCTAGAACTCTTGATTATAATCCTTCAATATGTCGGGAGAACTACCAAAATATATGAAAATATTTATGATTCCAGATAAAAGTTCGTTATTATGTGAACAATCTAATGAAAACGAATATGACTTACGTTGTAACATTGAATTTCTTAGAGTAATAGTGTGAGTAGACTGATTTGTATGTATTTGTTTTTGTCTAAATTTAACTTAAACGTTTGAACTTTGAAAACTTCTCAATTTAAAATAATATAAATTATAATTTTTTGCATTTAACATTAGATGTTTTCTTTAAGTGCGTGATATCCATTGACCTAGGGCCTTAAGGTTATGCCACAAGGTTTAATTTTCTACGTATAGTCATGATCTATATAGCTTCAGTTATATTTGATTAAACTTTATGAATCCTGAATTATAGCCGAGCTCGGCCGTTACTCTAAACCTATATACAAATTTGAATTAATATAAAACTATGATTATCATTGTAAAATTCAATATAACATCACCTCTAGAAATAACACATTAACAACATATCCTAATTGATTCACGTCCTGTATTAGTTTACAATGGACAAACAATGTCCTTGTAATCTGACGAAATTAATGAAATCATCGCTACAACTATGAAATATGTATTATCTTTTCTAATTATCTATAAACGCTCTACTTATCTAGTTATTCTTTTATAATTTAAATTTTTAACATGATAAATAATAGTGTGAGTAGAGTAAAATTTATGGGTCAAATTTTTTATCCGAGGCGCGCCGTTTGAAGCATATTCATAATTTTACTTTATCTGTGGCAAGCAATGAAGCGCATGCGCGCTGACATGCAGAATTCATAGATTTTGGCGCCAAGTTTGCGATTACAATACTTTTCTTCTAACTATGGGAAACATTTTATTAGCTTAATAATGTCTCATAGTGAACGAGAAGAAAATTTAATTTTGTCTTATGTTTTTGTGACGGCCGGAGTATGTATTGAGAGAATTAGGCTTACGAAAATCCTATGGACTTGGTTTGTGAAATTAAATTGGCTGTTTCAGACGCAGTTATGTTCAATTTATACTATTAAATAAAGTAGTTTAAACAACTACACATACTAAACTTGGTACAATATAATTGAATTCTAACATACAGACAAATCAATTCCTTATGTGTATCCGTTATTTTCAGACATGTATAAACAGGTAATGTAAACATTAATAATCTCTATGAAAATCTCTGTAATGTTCTATTAATTGTAACACGTTTACATGACATATTTTTTTATGAAAAACGGAAGTCAGAAAATACCTTTAAAATACGCGATCAGGGTTATAACAGCCGTATCATAAGCAATTAAATCTAGTTACTTGTTCTGGCCGTTTATTCGAGGTCTATACAGCCTCGTGACCCGCATTTAGTAACCACTATATGACATCATCTTTCCTTATACGATTGGACCTTCGCGGTTGTACTCATTGACAACATATTATAGCGCATTACGTAATTGTTTGGATTGACTAACTCTGGGTAGGTTGACGAACTATGAAATTACATTTTCATCAAAGCAAAGCATTATAGGCGGTCCTCCGCTATTTTATTGTTTCGTAGTCGATATTATGTTTATCGTATATGTATATTAGTATGGATATCGATCGGAAATTCTAAACAAATATCATCAATCACAGAGGTCCAAGAATTTTTTTATTATGTTTACTATCTTATTTATATTATGTTAACTATCGGATTTAAATATTTTAAGTTCGACTTGAACATTTTGAACCTTAGGAATCCGCCAAAACGCTTCTCTAGGCGTCGCACCATTGACGTACCATGCTTGTAAACACGTAAACAATTAATGTCCTGTATATACGTTGATCAATAAAAATAAGGGCCATACGAGTATACTTCAATAGAAAAAGTATTGTAAGTTTTCGAATCGCATTGGTTTTTACAATTCGTTGTAACGTAAAGGCAAATAACCTATTACTTCCTGTTGACAGATAGAAAATGACAACATCTACTGCTTCCTTAAATAAACAATTGTTATCTACTTTTTTTCTTCCTGATAAATAAACAAATAATGTTATTTCCAAAAAAATATCTTTTAGAGGTATTTCTATTTAATTCGTTTTCCACAATTTCAGGCGTTGACGTGCGCATGCGTCGCGCTACACTACCACAGCTACAATGCCGATGCCGACATCGGTATGCTGGTCACCGGCACCTTCATCGGGTACCTTATCATCTTTGCTGGTGCCGCTGCAGGTAATTAAATTTTAACAATAACTTTACCTGGAACTTTGTTTAAGAATAAGACCAGTATTGACCTAATGGCTTTAGCGTATGTTTCTACAACCCTGAGATTGCGCATTTAACATTTGCACGGTAAAGGAAAACGTCTTGAGGAAACTGCCATGCCACAAATTGACGGTGTGTGGCAGTGACAAATGGCTGATCAACTTATGAAACAGATACATAAATCTGACGCTAGACTAAAGGCGACTCGTTTTAAAACTAAAAAAATTTTTTATCATATCATTATTGCGCATGACATACATACGATATGCCAAAAGGCTAACAGAAACCTGGGGTTCGTATTACTAATAGCTTGTGGCTTCACGAATATCAGTGCAATCAAGACTTTATACAATACGTTAGTCAGAAGTCACTTGGAGTGCATGTTAGAGCGAGTACAAAATAAATTTACCCGTTACCTCTACAAGAGACTGTATCCTTGGTATCCGCTTATGTACCCGATCCTGTTTGTTCTGGGTATTGTGGGTTATGACCAGCTGTGCCTCAGAAGAGAGCTTGCTTTGTCAGTGTACTTATTGAGGAAATATACGGGTCGGCTCTACTAGTTCCAAAATTTGTTTTTTGTTTGGTCACAACTTGGATGTACCGCGCGCACACTCCAACTTGGTTAGCGATGCGTCACTCGTACGTGCACGTACGTACACTGGCTGAGTCCACGAGAGCTGCTTATTATGTTATGACTTATTAGATCTCGGTTACATTGTTTTATATATTTTTAACTGTAAAATTATCGATAATACCTACGCATTATTGTGTGTATTAGTAGTAACTGTTAAGATATTATAATTATATACGACATAAATAAATATAGTCTGTGTAAAGTAGTGTCTATCAGTAATAAATATAATGAAATTTCAGGATACATAATGCAAACACCGAGTCATAAACGCATCGACATCTTTTACTCACTCGTCGGTGTTTGTTTGTTTGTGGCGAGCGGAGCCCTTATCATTGACAGGTAATTATTATAATTTAATTTAAATTTGGCAAAATAGTGATTATTTAACTGATGAAAAACGTTAATTTCACTACAAAACAAAACAAAAGGTAATAAAAAAAAAAGGGTGCGTGTACTTATGTACGCGCGTAAGAAGTTATACTTCTTTGGCATTATTAAAAATAGTTTTTGATTGCATGCAAATAATTAATTACAATTAAATAATCAAAGACTGGAAAAGGAGTCATTAAAGTCAATAAAGTTCAGTTTACATTTGAAAAATTAATTAAATAAATATTTATTATTATTCTCTTACATTAAACAAATAAAACACTATTTATCTTTAAAACATTTTTATTTCATTATACTATTTATTTTTAAGTGACTCTAATGTCTTCATCAGAATTTCGGTTTGTAATTTTAAATTAATCATTACTTGGTTGTGCATCTACGAGGCTTCTCCAAAACTACTTGCTTTCTGCAACAAATAAGAGAATATTAATTTAAGCTCTGTCCATGCAAAACTTAAAAATTTTTATAATTCATATTATAAATTTTTTAACACATTTATATTAATATAATTATATAAATGTGTTAATAATATAATTTGTAGCACATGCTACAGACCTGGATAGCAACTTTCTTTTATTCTATTTAGAGATAGAGATAATTTAAATATAATACCGGTGTCTTCCTTGTAGGTTTCTTTGGAGTTGTTTGGGGATTCTTGTTGTTCAGTTCGACATGATTTTCTTTAACCTTTCTTTAATCCTACAAAATAATGAAATTGTTAAGTTATGTTGTCACTGTTGTGCACACCTTTGTTTGGCTTTTTAGTATTCAAGTTATGTCAAAACTGATTTATTACCTTGTCATTGTTGGCTTTATTTGCTTTTGGGATATCAATTGTTTCCAAAATGATTTTATTTGTAATAACCTGAAATATATAAATAACATCTATTAATTTAAGTATCATGGTGAGTGGTTCGCACTCAGGTATTAAGGTGTATTATACCCACTGTCCATTATAAGTGGGAATGGGCTCACTTCTGGCAGGACAGAGTTTCGGTACTACAAGTGCAACATGGATGTTTTGAGGTATTACAATATCTCTAACTACCCTGTAGGGGAATAAAGTAATGTTGTAAGCATATGCCTATGCTTGAAAGGTTGAACCTTGAACATCACCATACATCATATTTATAATTAACATTCCTACCTCGACACCATCACAATCAAATTCATTGAAATCTACTTCAAACCATTGTGTCTCGAGAAGGTGATGGTGGCTTTGTTCCACCTCCAGTTTTTGATGTTTCACGGCGATAAGATGACAACTCTTTTTTGTATTCAATTTAGTGCACTTCCACTGATTCATCAATTGTTTTTTGTCTCTTGTCCTTATATTTGCTAGATTAAATCTGATGTTTTGATTAAATAATGTGGTCATTTTTTTGAGATGCAGGTACTTATTAAAATGTTTACTTCTCTGTTATATCGCTCCAAGCCTTCATTTTCTCCTTATTAGTATTCGTGCTTAAATCTTTGTTCTCAATTATTGATATATAGGGTCGTAGAATATTTCTAAAAAGTTGCTGTAACAAACGCAATAAACAAAAGCAATGAATAATGGTTCATGTTTCAGTTTTAATCAACAATAATACTCGATAATACATACGGATAGTTAACCTCAATTGTATTGAAGCACTCAGGAAGGTTAGCACAGTTTTTTCACAAATATTTTATATTATTTCACAAATATTTTGTATAATGAAAATAACTAGGTATATAATTATTAATTTTAAACAATAATTAAAACTCCTATATTTGTTTAAAAGGTAAATGTCATTGTCAGATGTCAATTGTCATGGTCATTCAAAATTCTTGTTAAGCTGCTAAGCTAGAATATGCGTGAAGTTAGCTTCACGCATATTCTATTTCTTTTTACTTGTAGTTTGTCTTATTCCCATCTCGCTCGCGCACGCTATATCACACTGCCAATTTTGTGTCATAGGTGCGCGCGCAATCGTAAAATTTCACTCTCATCAATTTTTCATAACGCGCCTAAAGAAGTACAACTTCAAAAAGAATGCGTTTGGCATGTTTTGACTTATAAAAAAGATTTTTAAATTAAGTATTTTTCTTAACAGCCAGTATTCGTTATCAAACAATGTTCATGGTCGAACTCTTTGGTGCATGAAACATTACATTTATCCACATTCCAAATTCAAATCTCTTTTCATTAGAGCTTAAAGGCAATTTTAGTCTATTTACCGGGGGGACTTCTTCTGAATATCTTTTTATCACATCTATAAAAAAATATTATTGTGTATTTTACACAAATATTTGAGGAAACATAATAAAATTGGTGATAGCAAATTCATTCATCAAGTATTCTGTTTGAACCCCGGCTGTGAAAAAATACATGTGTACAATAAATACTACCAATATGAGTATTAGATGATTAAGTCTTATATTATCTGGTATGATCCTGTATTAAAAATAATTGAACCTGATGATCGATGATAATACATAAAAGTACATGTTACATATTATACGTTATTTTAAAATATAATATAATATTTTTAATATTATATAAATATATCTGAATGCCTTAAACGACGGACGCATCTATTTTAAATTTATATAATCTGTTAAATTATCTTGATATCAAGATTTATCTTCATATAAACTTCCTGAAAATTCCGTATTCACTAATGAACCTCCAAAATCCAAACTTATGCGCCTAATTAATACTTTCAGATATCAGCATTATGGAAGAAGTGAACTAAAAGACAAAAATCTTGCGAAGGCTTCGCTAGCAATCATCAACGGTGCGCTTTTGCTCGTAGACGCCGTGTTGACTCAGCGAGGTGGATAGATGGCGCTTAAATATAAAATTATATTATTAATGCATAATATTTATAATTTATTGAGCTAACGACTTATAACCCTTTTATAAGAGTAGTATAGTAGAGTAATTAGTATTTACGAAGATTTCTTATGTTTTTGACGATACAAATTTATAAAGGTTAATAAATATAATTTGTATACAGACTCCTCACTGTCTACGTGAAAGATTTGGAAAAACACAAACGAATATCTACATTCTTTCCATCGATAAAACAATATGAATAAAAATTTGAGATTCTTTTGTGGACCTAGTCGAGTCAAATTACATTCCACATTTTAAGTTTTAAAATAAAATATTTATGAACATCAGAATTCGACGCATTTAACGAAGTAAATTCCAAAATTTAAATTTTTTGAAAAGAATTCTCACCTACAATGTAATAATTAAAGTTAATAATTCCCTTCATACCTAGCTGACACTAATACAAGTAGTGAATGCACGCAAAGATAAATAAAAAATGCTCTAAAAATTATCTGGCAACATCACTTTGAGATGGAAGAAAAATATAATTCTTTCCCTTTAAGGAATTTTTTCATATGCGATACTTTTTTAAAACCCACCTGCACTATTATTTGTGAATAAAACGTTTTATACTAATTGTACTTGTCATATTTTTATCAATTTACACTATTAAAATGGCTATGTCCATATTTTTAATAAATGTTTTTGCTATTCAAATGTTTTTTATTTAAATTAAATACGATATACATGAAGCATTATTTAGCAGTCCTACCTACTCAGTACCTCATAAAACACATGTTCAGAATATATACAATTTATGGTAACATTAACAATATTATTTAAGTAACAATTTAAGTGGCAGACTTTAATTTGATTTGAACTTAAGTTATTGCGTATCTGTTAAAGGGTGATTACCATTTCATTAAAAATTCAGGGCAATGCTACCAAAAAGTACAAAGATCGTTACTAAAAACCCAAGAAAAATGAAACAAAAGGCAACAATGGCAGAATTTGACTGAGTAATCGATCAATCTCAATTCTAATTTTCTTTTTTTTTTACAAATGACTGACCACTAAAATAGGTACACATTATATTTCATCAATCACGTATCCATCATAATATAACATATATTTACATGTTTGTTTATGTGAAAGCTTTTTTAATGCTATACTAGTTTCAGTTACGCAAACAATACTCAATATATGGGAAAGTAATTCTGGTCAATCTATCTTCAACAGTATTATGTGATAGATGTATAACTCGTGTTGGTAAATTGTCTAAGTTCAGATTCGACTAGTTTTCAGGGCTGTAATATTTTCAGTATGTTACTTTTACTCGCGTTAATAATTGTTATTAAACATTCATCAAGTACTGAAGTTCATAACACAGCAGCTGTCATAGCCAATCAAGAGTTTTCACCTAATTATCCAACAGCAGTTGTATGGTGGGAAACTGCTCCAGAAAATATACATCATTTTTCCAAAGTATATAAAGGTCTTTTAGTTACGCTTTCACTTAATTATACAAATGTGAATGAAACAGCATTAAACACCGTGTATGACCAAACAGTCATTTACGTCAAATATGTTGAAGAATTCAGCTTAATTTTAAAAAAGTTAAAACTTTCTTTAGAACCCATCCAACTTATTTTGGTGTTAATTGAAGTGAATGAGAGTAGCATTACTGAACTCATACAAGTTGCTTGGAAAAATGAGGTTGCCGAAATAATAATTGTTACAACCAATATAAAAAAAGAACTAAGTTTGTACACATTTATTCCATATACACCTGGAGATTGTGGTAACATTACACCTGTCGAAGTTCCAGTTAATGTTCCAAGTTTCTTTCTCAGAAAATTTCTGAACTTTAACAAATGCCCTCTAACACTGTCTGCTCATACGTCGATGCCGTATATAAAGGTGATTAAAGAAAATGACAAAATAATACTCAAAGGGTTTGAATCGGATATTATAAATCTAATTGTTGAAAGACTTAATGCTACGTTAGTAGTAATATCTAATGAAGAGCAAGAACGAGACAACATCGCAAACGACAGTTTAAAAGTTGGTTTTAGTGATTTAATAAGCAAAGTTGCAGACGTCATGTTACCAGCAGTATTTGTCAATAAAAAAAGGTATTCCGTTGCTTTAACTACATACACGTATAACGATCTTACAATAGTTTGGATTGCTCCAAAACAACGCGTAATCTACGCTTGGGCGAAATTAATACTACCATTTATATCAAGAATTACGCCATTAATTATTCTTACAATCTTATGCTTTATAGCTGTTGTTAAACTCATTATAAGATTTGGCAGATATCATGAATTAAAAGAAAAAACCGTAATATTTCAAAGTTTCACAATACTTTTAGGATTACAAACGAAATTTGAAACCAAATGTTGGCTAAATAATACAACTTACGTTTTGTGGGTATGGTATTGTTTTCTGATACGTATCGCTTATCAGGGTGATCTCATAAATGGCTTGCACAAAGTTATTCTGGAACCTCCTATTCGAACTGTTAACGATGGCTTGCAAATCCTCGATGAAGTGGTCGCTTCTGCAGCAATTCAAGAGCTATATAAGAATACATCACTCGAAGAACAATTTAATGTGTTAGCCAAGCCTAGTGATTCAGAAGCATACCTTAAAAATATCGTTGATGGGGCAAGAATTTTACTAGCTGAAGATTATATTAATGTAAAGAGTCATGGTTATTTAGATAAGGTGCAGTTTTTAGAAGAAAGCGTGGTTAGGTTACCGGCTTGTATTTTTGTAAGAGCCCGATGGCCTGGTGTCGATGAATTTCGCCGTAAAATAATGGAATTTCACCAACATGGGTTTTTTGGATATTATTATTATCAATATAAGGACAGACACTACAGAAGATATGAAAGAACTAATGGATCACTTACAAAAGAACGGAGCACAAAACCACTCACCGTTGCTTCACTGAGTTCATTGTTTTATGGACTTTTGATGGCGTATTTTATCTGCTTTATTGTATTTTGTATGGAAATTATCTGGTTTAAGACGAAGGCATCACGAAAGAACCTAATGGTAAAAAGACAAAACATAAAGGTAACTTTTATAGAGGGATGAGGATAAAAATATTATATTAAAATATATAAAAATTGCGACCATCCAGAGTAATAAAAAAAAAATCAGTTGTCTGTAAAGTCGGTTTACTGACGATAGTTGAACGTGACAACGTCATAAGAAAATACTGATGGAATGATTGCATTTTTCAAAAGAAAATTTTAATTTTATTTGTTTGTTAGATATTTTGTATGGATATAGAGAAGGCGGTAAATGGAAATCACAATTGAATTGATCAAGTTACATTGATTTGTACGCATAAATATAATACAAGTATGTCAACGAACTGTTAGGCCGTGAAATTAAAATGCCTTTTTAAAAAAAAAGGATTTAATTAAATGAGTATGAGAATGAGTAAAATACAATAATTGGACAACCGCTCTCTAGGAATAATGTACGCAGACTGACTGAAGTCACCATGATCATAATTCTCTAAAAGTATGCATTGATGATGCAGATGATGAGTTAGCATTAAGGCTAGCAATCTAGGGATGTAACAGAACGAACGCTGCCGAACGCGGAGGTCGATTGTGCCTCTTTGTCGCTCGTTCCGCGCTCTCGCTTGCACTTCAAGCCTTAAATGGAACGCCTCAGAGCGAGGTAACGCCGCATGCGGCATGATTTTTCGTGCGTGCAGCTGGCTTCATTGAATTATACGACGTTGTCACGTCAATAAAAACATAACATCATTTTAACAATCTAAATAAATATGTTTATATTTATAAGTATAAGAATAATTATAGTGATATAATTTAAAACTAAAAAAGCAGTGTTGGCCTGACTTGGCTTGACTTTCTGTCTATGTGCGCATCTAATATTCTCTCGTACGATGAAGAAAAACGTGAGAATACCGGCATGTCTCAAATTCAAAAACTGACGACATGTTTTAGGGTCTAAAATTAAGACAGAAGGCTGATGACCTTCTAGTCTAAAAAATAAAAATGATGAAAAACGGATGCAATCTGAGGCCAAGCCCCATTTTACGTAGGCATATATTTAAATGTGTCTAAGCATTAGCGGACAAAATCGACAATCCTTATCTAGTTCTAAAATAGTGCCTGTGGATAGATCGCACCAAATCTATTAGCGTGATGTGTTTTAGACATAGGTCAATAGGGTACAGTAATCTATTATGAATGCACCTAATTCATTAAGACTATATATAGCCTTAGCTAAAAAGTTTAAATGTACATGTAATTATGTATACCATATACATGTAATATTTTATCCTATGTTTCCTCTTTACAAGAAAGTAAAATAGCTGATAATTATATATTGATATACACACATAACATATATAACGTGATAAAGCATTTTAACATCTAGCATCAGCTACTACTTATGCATCAATGTTTTGATGGGCTTTGTTATAATGTAGCGTCTTATTACGCGCAATATAAGTAATTAAATTGTAATGGCGCGTCATAAATCCATTTAGGTACATTTTTCTATTGCGCCGCAGCCTAGTCTTCTTCGCCGACATCTTTTTTGTCTCTTTAGCAAACTAAGTTTGCAGTACATGTATTTTAGTTTCCACGACATTTTTGGGTGTATTTAGGGCTTGAGAAATTTCTTCAAATGCATCGTTATTTTTATTTCTATTATTTTATTCTTTGATTGAAGAATCCTATAATAATGCTTTTGATTGAAACAGTTCTGTTAATTGCATTATTTTGTCGTTGCCCCACTCTACTGTCATGTTTATAAACGAATAATGTAGACAGAAACTCCGCAACACGTTGATTCAACATTCTTGCTAAACAAATGTTTAACATGAATACGAAGCCTAATAATCATAATTTTATGTTATATATATCATTAGTCTAAGTGTATAAGTTTTAAATTTGTGTGATGTACTGCTGGACAGAAATACTATGTCTAGTTTATATTTCCGCTACACT